TACTTTTCTATCTTCAGTTTCCACAGACTAGAATCCCGCAGGTAGCAGTGTTTCATTTTAATTGGTCCTCATACTTTCAACATGTAAGTGTGGAAACACTCACTTCATTTCAGTTGTAACACAGAATGTGAAAGTTGCAAATCAGAATCAAGTGATTAGTAACTACCTAATTAACACCTTATGAAATGTAGGCATTGATAGGAAAGAAAAAACATTTTGTGAATTAAAAATATGACTTTTTAAAACAATTTCTTTGGTCATATCCAGGATTGCATTTCCAATCTAAAATAGAGAGACTTACTCCAGAAAAGTTATTGCTTACTTAAGAGTAGAAATCTAAGTTTGGGCTGCCTACAAGTCATATGAATACACTAGCCACTGGACATCCGCAAGACAGCTGGCGTGGATGGAATGCACCCAAGAGTGCTAAAAGAGTTGGCTGATATCATAGCACAACCAATGGTGAGGATATTTGAGAACTCATGGTGCTTGTGAGAGGTTCCTGAAGATTGGAAGAGGGTCAATATGGTGCCAATCTTAAAGAAAGGAAGAAAGGAAGATCCAGGGAACTACAGGCCAATCAGTTTGATCTCATTCCCTGGAAAGATCTTGGAAAAAAATCATCAAAGAAACCATCAACAACATGCTAACAGAAAGCAACACTCTGAGAGATAACCAACATGGTTTTGTTGTGGGTAGCTCTACCTGACCAACCTCATTTCCTTCTATGACCAGGTGACACATCTTCTGGACAAAGGAGAAGAGGTTGATGTCATAGATTAAGATTTCAAAAAATCCTTTGACTTGGTTTCCCATGATGTCCTTATGGTAAAATTGGGGAACTGTGGCCTTGACAAACTTATGGTCTGATGACTCAGAAACTGGCTCTATGGTTGGACCTAGAGAGTAATAGTAGATGGAACCGAGTCAACATAGTGCATGGTGACCAGTGGCATCCCCCAGGGCTCAGTACTCGGATCAGTACTCTTTAATATATTCATAAATTATCTGGATTTGGGTGTCAGAAGCAGATTGAATAAATTTGCATATGACACCAAATTATGGGGAAGTGCAGTCATGCTAGAGGATAGGCTGGTGATTCAGGCTGACCTGGACAGGCTCTTAAGGTGGGCAGATCAACATCTGATGACATTTAACATGGAGAGATGCAAGATGTTCATCTCAGGAGAAAAAAACCCACATCATACTTATAGGCTCAGCAGTGCTACACTCACTAGCAGCAGGACCGAAAGAGACTTGGGGGTCATGACTGACCACAAGATAAACTTGAGCCACCAATGCAATGTCACAGCTGGCAAAGCAAATAAAATTCTGGCTTGCATCTATTGATGCATCTCAAGCAAGACCCAAGAAGTCATTCCCCTGCTTTACTCAGCCTTGGTGAGGCTGCAGCTGGAGTACTGCATCCAATTCTGGGATCCACACTTTAGAAAGGATGGGGAGAAGCTTGAGAGAGTCCAGAAGAGAGCTACATGCATGATTAGCTGTCAAGAGAACAGGTCTTATGAGGAGAGGCTGAGAAGCATGGGACTCTTCAACCTGGAGAAGCAAAGACTCAGGAGTGACTTGGTGGCATCCTATAAGTATAAAAGGGTTGTGCATCAGGAACTGGTAGAACATCCATTCACCAGGGCACCCTAAGGGAAGACAAGGTCTAATTGTCATAAACTACTGGAAGATCATTTTAGATTGCATAAAAGGATATATATACATGGCTTCTTTACCTTTCGAGTCTCCAGAATCTGGAATAGATTTGGAATAGACTTCCCCCAGAAGTGGTGCAAGCATCTGCTCTGGATACGTTTAAGAAATGCTTGGATGCTGATCTTGCTGGGGTGATCTGACCCCAGCTGACTTCCTGCCCCTTGAGCAGAGGGCTGGACCCAATGATCTCATGAGGTCCCTTCCAGCCCTAATGTCTATGAATCTATGGATCTATGAACTACTGGGTATTCCATTGATTGTGTGAATTCTATGCCAGACTTGGGAAATTTTCCATAACCCCAATTCATTTAACTGAAAAGTTTATTTTGACATATTGTTGTTTTATGAAGGAAACTATCTTGTCCAAAAGTTTATGACCAGTTCTAATGAGTTCTCTTGTTCACCGGGCTGTAAGTTGAAAGAAGTGATAGGAAACAAGCAACTGAACATATGACAACTGTGAAAACAAATAGTTCTATTAAAGTAAAATGTTAACATTGTCCAGGATATTTGAGTAACAGGGCAGAAATAATTGGCTTCTTTATATCCTTCAAGATAAAAGCATGCCACTGAAAAAAACTCTCATTTGAAAAGTAAGACTTGAACATGGATTCTGAGTGCGATCCTGGTAGCGTGATACTTTGTGCTAAACAGCAACTGTGATCATTCTAACCTCTGTACCATGCCTTCCAGCAACTTGCGCATCTTCCTGCAATCACTGTGAGTTTCATATTACTTCTATGAAAAATAAAAAAGAGCATACAGGCCATGTCCACATGAGCATGGACATTTGCTTCCCTGGGGACGAAGCAGCAGCACACCTTGTGCTGCTGCTACTTGTCCCTGAAAAATGCCTGTGCTACACACCCTCTGATGCATGACAGGTTACCCCAGGTGGCACAGAGAAGGCTAGGCCCAGAAGCCTTACCTAGGCTCCTGGGGGCCTCCTAGGGCTGCAGCAGTGGCAATCCTGCCACTCGGATCCTGGCTGGCAGCCGTAGTGTGGCTCCAGTTTTTGGCGGTGCACACTGACCCCATGTGCACCACTCCACTTTTTTCTGTACAGGTTTTTTTTACCCTGGGAGCTCCATGCATGGCCACACATGGCTGCGCTCATCTGGATATGGCAACAAAGGACATTCATTAGAACTATAAGGAAGATTAGATGCAAACAGAAACATCCATATTAATCAGGTCCTGGGTTCTAGCCTGCACATTTACTCCTAATGGGGTAGAAAATTCTTCAGGGCCCTCTGACCTGGTGGGCTGAGGTGCAGAGAGATGGGAGAGGGGTCCTCAAATCTGTATCTCCTGCTTCTAGGTTAAACACCTTAAGCACTCAGCTTTTGGGCTTAAAAAATGGGAGGTTCCCCCTCAATTTGTCAGCCAGAATTTTAGGACTTAGACTTACACACATGCATATTGAACCACATAACTGCCCTACTGGTATGCGGCTGAATGGGCATGCTCAGTATCCTTGTGGATACCTGTGCATCCACATTACATGCAGAAACTGTTGAGAAGTGCCAAAGTGGCTGTTATACAACTAGAAAACTACTATTTCGAAACATAAAGTGAGCGTTCAATGTCCATTAAGTTCTGCTTTAGGTTCCTTACACCTTATGTGAATTTTGATCTAAATGCTAAAAAAAGCAAGTTGGTAAAAGTGTATTAATGTCTATAAGCACATATGAAATTGCTTATGTGGTAGGCACTGGTAAGTCTAACTAATTAGTAGATTAGAGACCTAAATATTATGTCCATGTGTTTTATTTATGCAGTAACAGCATCTTTCTTTTGGAGAATGTGTTCTTTTTCTATAGGATAGAACAAAAAAGTACTTGCAGTGTCAGTCTTATATAGTTTGTATTTCATTTAACAAACCTTTTGAGATTATTTTCATATTTTCCTGGGAAAATAAGAGTGGCTTTTTTGGTTTTTTGGAATTTTCTCTCTTGCTTATATTAAAGTTTTTGTTTGGAAAGAAATAAAACCAACAGAGGGTACTACATACTGTAGTTGAATACAGGTATGAAGTATGGGTTGCCAGACATTTAGGCAAATTGACATGGCAAGCACTAGGGGCTCTTACACACGTGTGTGGGACATGGTGCCAGGTGATTTAATTAGTGAGCCATGCTAATTAAAAGCACCCATGCCATTACATGTATCAGCATCACTGCATTCTAGCACTGAAAAAATGGTGGCAGGGCACTCTGAACAAAGCTCATCAGACGTGTTTTATTTCAAAGTACCCTGCTGCCATTTTGTCAGCATGGAGACATGCGGCAATGCTGATACACATGATGTGTGAGCCTGCCGGAGCATGTCAATTTCTGTGCAGACTTGATTAATCAAATCTGCTCCAACACACACTGGTATCCCGATGCATCAAAGCAGGTTCTCCACATGTGTATAGGAACCCTAGTACAAAACATAGTTCTTGGCTATATAACTGACTTGACAACACTTCACATCTAGCATGTTTTGGGGGTTTTTTCTTTATTTTTATACATCTAAATCCAGAAGAAGGATGCCAATTCAATTACATATGTTCTCAAGTCAAAAACTGAACTAAAGCTGGACACAGAGGGATTTTTGAGTAAGGGAGATCACAGTGAATGACCATTGCATCACTTTTACTTGTCAAGAAAAATGTTTGGATCCAGGGTTATATTATTGATTAATCCTGCTTAACAAAAAACAAATATCCCTTTCTGCTTTTGGAAGACAATAATGGGTGTGCACAATTTCATGAAGTTGGTTTTAGTACACAGTCATTTACTGAGTTGGGTATGGGCTGGATCTTGTGCATTACTCAGAGTAAGAAACTACTAATGTCTTTGATTATGAAAAGCTGCCTTGGGATTAGCATGGTAGTGAGCTTTGGAACAAGAATTACAAGAAATTCTTGGAACTCAGTACTATTAGCTTTACATTGAAAACTGATGCATGTGGCATTGAGCCTTTGATCGTATGGCCTGGAAGAAATGGGACATATGGAATTTTTTTCAGGAAATAAATAAGAATTGTAGCCGTGAGAGTGATGAAATGGGAATGCACAAGATAGAGGCTAAAACAAATGCTGTAAATAATGTTCCTTGCCCTGTAAAAATAATAGGACACCCCCACCTGTGGTGTACACTCCTTAGTGAGGTCCCTGGAATCCCAGGTGATTGAGCTCCAGGCCCAGGTTGGCAGACTTCGTGCCATCAGGGCCCATGAGCAGCAGATGGATGGTTACTACAGTCAGGCTCTTCTTCTTCATTCTTAAGGAGAAGAGAAGATAGAGGAGAAGGTGGCCAACAAGAAGGCTGTCTGAAGAGACCCACCCAGAGCTACCTGGAAGATGGTCATCTCAGGCTCCAGGACATGCATGGCTAGGGCTGCCTCTCCCCCGACATTGCAGAACAGGTATGCTCCCCACACCATGCATGAGGAGACTCCGATGGAGACACCACAGGAGGAGGTAGGTAGTCAGCAAACTGCCACCCTCAAGACGAGACACAGGGTGGTAGTGCTGGGGGACTCCCTCCTGCGGGGCACTGAGGGACCCATCTGCTGTACAGACACCCTAGCCTGTGAGGTGTACTGCCTCCCTGGGGCCTACATCTGGGATGTTGTGGAGAGGATCCTTAGGCTTGTGCAGCCCTCTAACCACTATCCCATGCTCCTCATTCATGTGGGCATAAATGACACAGCTAAGAGTAATCTGGGCTGGGTCATGAGTGATGACAGGGGTCTGGAGCCTGGGCTCAAGGGTTCAGGTGTGCAGGTAGGCTTTTCTTTGTGCTCCTAGTTGCAAGCCATGAACCTAGGAGGGAAGGATGCAATGAAGAAATGAACTAATGACTCCAGCAGTGGTACTACAGAGGTGGTTTTGGTTTATTCAACCACAATGCACACTTCAGGGAGAAAGGAGTCCTGGGAAGGGACAGCATCCAACTCACATGGAGGGGTAAGTCCCTGTTCTTGGTCAGGATGGCCAATCTTCTAGATAGGGATTTAAACTAAGATCACCAGGGGATGGGGAAACACTGACTGAAGCATGCCCGGGGACAGGCATAGAAGAAAGCTCTGAAGATGGGGACACTAGGAGAGCCACTCTTGCAGAAGCTGAGGGAATGGCTCTCCCTCAGTGTGACAGGAAATTGAGGGTCTTAATTGGAGGACTCAGGTGCCTGTACACTACTGCCAGGAGCATAGGTAAGAAGCAGGAGAAGCTAGCCCTCCTACTTTCCAGTGGGCATTATGATCTAGTAGAGATTATGGAGACTGGGAGGGACTCCTCACATGATTGGAATGTAGCCATAGAGAGCTATACAGTGCACAGAAGGAACCTAGTAGGGAAAAAAGGTGGAGGTGTAGCTTTCTATGTGAAGGAGCAGTACACCTCCTTGGAGGCCAACATCGGCTCCAAAGAAGAGTGATTTGAAACCCTCTGGGTCAAACTATGGGGTGGAGGGCAGGGGGCGGGGCAGGAGGGCGTGGTGAGGGAGACCTAACTGTAGGAGTATACTACAAACCACCAGACTAGGGGGAGGAACTCGATCTGGAGTTCTCTCAAGAACTGGCCGAAGCTGTGTGCACACAGGACATGGTCGTCATGAGTGACTTCAATTACCTAGACATCTCTTGGGAGGAACACTCGGCTAAGCTGGATTGCTCATGTTGCTTCCTGACCTGTACTGAAGAGCTCTACCTGAATCAGGAAGTGCATAGGCCAGCCAGAGGTGACACTCTCCTAGACTTGGTCTTGGCCAAAGCAGATGATCTGGTGAGCAACTTGAATATAGAGGGTAGCCTGGGCAACAGCAACCACAAAACCATCATATTCACAAGGCAGACAAATCAATTATCAGGTTTAAAGTTTTGGATGTCAAAAAAGTGAATTTCAACAGGCTCAGGACAATAGTAAGGGAAGTGCTGCAGGACCAGGGACTGAAAGGAGTGCATGAAGGGTGGTTGTTCCTCAAGGACATGATTCTTGAAGCACAAAATAAGTCCATTCCCATGTGGAGGAAAGGTAGCAGAAGAGCTGGTAAGCCCTCTTGGATTAATAGGGATATCATGGTCCTCTTAAAAAAGAAGAAAGAGGTATACAAACAATGGAAGCTTGTGACAGTCCCTGAGGAGGACTATACAACAACAGCCTACACTAGTAGGGAGCAGATTAGAAAGGCTAAGGTGGCAACTGAATTTGAACTAGCAACAGAAATCAAGGACAATAAGAAGTCTTTAGGTATGTAGGGAACAGGACAACAAATGGAAGTGTTTGGCCATTGCTTAACAACTCAGAATAACTGGTTACCAACACACAGGAGAAAACTGGTGGGAATGACCGCCTTCCTACTGTTGAAGTTGAGCTGGTGCATAGCATAATCAGTTAGAAAAGTTAGACATTTATACGTCATCAGGACTGGATGAACTTCATTCAAGTGTGCTGAAGGAGCTGGCCAAAGTTATCATGGGACCTCTGGCAAAACTCTTCCAAAACTCGTGGCACACAGGAGAGGTCTCTGAAGACTGGAAGAGGGCTAATGTTGTGCCCATCTTCAAGAAAGAGAGGGGAGAGGACCCAGGCAACTATAGCCCAATTAGCCTAACTTCTATCCAAGGGAAAACTCTGAAAAAATTCATGGGTTCATTCAAAGAGTCTGTGTGTGATACACTTGCAGAAGGTAGGATTCTGAATGACAGTGAGCAGTCTTGTCTTACCAATCTCATCTCCTTCTACAACCAGTATCTTGCCACCTAGATAAGAGAAAGGAGATTGACATTGTACATCTGGAACTCCACAAGGCCTTTGGTCTGGTATCCCATGATGTTCTCATGGGAAAATTGAAGGATTGCAGGCTTAACTGCTCGACAGTTAGGTGGGTAGGAAGCTGGCTGCGGGGTAGGACCCAGAGAGTTCTAATGAACAGATCTGTGTCCTCCTGGTAAGAAGTGGCCAGTGGTGTCCCTCACGGGCCCATGCTTGGTCCAGTGTTTTTCAACATCTTTATCAATGTTTTTGATATGGGCTCATTGGCCAAATTCGCAGCAAAACCAATTTATGGGGGAACGTGGTCACGCTGGAAAATAGGCTGCAGATACAGGTGGACCTAGACAAGCTAGCAAGTTGAGCAGATCAGAACAGATTATGTTCAATACTGAGAAGTGCAAAATCTTTCATCTGGGGAAGAACAATCCCAAACATACTTACAGACTCAGTGGCACCAAACTGACTAGCACCATAGCTGAAAGAAAACTAGGGGTAATAATAGACCATAGTATGAACATGAGCTGTCGGTGTGACACTGTAGCCAGCAGGACAAACAATACTCTGGCATGTGTCAACCGATGCATCTCAAGCAAAACCAAGGAAGTGATTCTCCCGCTTTACTCAACATAGGTGAGAGCACAGCTGGAGTACTGCATCCAGTTCTGGGCACTGCACTTCAATAAGGATGTGGAAAAGCTTGAGAGAGGCCAGAGGAGAGCCCCCTGTATGATCAGAGACTTACAAGGCAAGCCATATGAGGAAAGGCTGAGGGACTTGGCTCTCTTCAGTCTAAAAAAGAGAAGGCTGAGAGGGGACTTTGTAGCAGCTTACCACTACATCAGGGGAATACATCAAGGGCTCATCAAACAACTGTTCACCAGGGGACCCTTGGGGCAAACCAGGAGTAATGGCCACAAACTCCTGGAAGACCATTTTGGGCTTAACACTAGGAACAAATTCTTCATGGTTAGGGCGTCCAGACTGGAATAAACTCCCTCCAGAGGTGGTGCAATCACCTACCCTGGAAATCTTCAAGAGGAGACTGGATGGTCACTTCTCTGGGGTCACCTGACCCCAGTTGTCTTTCCTGCCTGGTGCAGGGCGTCTGGACCAGATGATATTGCAAGGTCCCTTACAGCCCCTTACAATCTATGAATAATAAAAGATGTATTCCTTCAGTATAATCTATTTGAATATTTTTTGCTGTAACGTGCAAAGAGTCTGTGCCTTTTCTAACCATAATTTAGAATATGGTGGTGGATGAAAACTTGAACAGAACTATTAAAAATTCTAAAAGGCTTCTAATTTGACATGTAGTGTTCTTAACAAATAATGATCTTGTATTTCCTCAGAGACTGACATGGACCACTGATATTTCATGTGCAAACTAGGCACATTTGCATCTTATCATTAACACCAGGCAAAAATGAATTCTGCATCTATAGATAAACAATCCTCAAATTGGATTAAAATACAAACCAATTTCATAAGTATTTCCTTTTTCCCCCCTCTAATAATGAATGATCAGCTTCTGGTGTCAGTATTCACTGACAGCAGAGATTCCTGTAGTGGCTTCCACTCATTATACTGGGCTGTATTCCTTACTGGAACAGAACACAGTAACACAACAAAGTATTCTGAATTTCAGAAAATGTTCCTGACATTTTAATTTTCTATGAGATCCTGCACTGTCTTAATAAAATTTGTTTAGAAATAGCTGTGGGTATGCATAACTTGCAATACATCTTTTTTACAGGATGCAGCAGCTAGACGTTTTTTGTTTTCAAAACTTTTATACAAATGACTTAGTTTTGGTTTACAAAAATTGTAAAAGGACAAAAACCTATCTGTTAAATGCAGCCTTATGCTGCAACTGAAATGTATTGCCCTCTTTCTGCTTATAAAGGTTTGTCATTGGGCACAGGAATAAAATCAGGTGATTTAACCACACAGTTAAGTGAAGGGCTTGTAATTGCTGATGTGCTAAAATCTGTTAATATAAAAATATGATAATTTCTAAATAATAAGTAAATTAAAAAAATCAAAGGGCATGGAATTCATCAACAAGAAAATGGGCAACATTAGGCAAATTATGTTAAAAGTAATTTATGCCAGCTTTTGTGCTAGAACTGTAAGAGTGAGATCCCCTGAGTTTGGTTGTCACCATTAACTCACTGCACCTAAGTATTTCAGTCAATAAAGAATGCAAAGAACTGGAAAAAACTTTAGACACCGTATACAAATGGTTATTGTTACCATAAGAAGTATACCAAAATATTACTTTTGGTTGAGAATAAAGTATTTTTATTCTGAATTTCTTCTTTTATAGGTTTAATGTAGACTCAAAGCCCTTTATTACAAAAAACCCCAACCCTTTAATTTCATTGAATATAGCTTTAAATCATTGGAAAAAGAGAAGTAACAATTATGCTGTCCATAAATTCTTTTCCCACTGATGTTTTCCTCTTTAATATAGTTGGTCTTTCCAGATCTCTGCAATGCTTTCAATAAAATGGTTCATTTTTGTTCTTTTATCAGTGCTTATAGCCTTATGATCAGTAGGAATCTTGACCTTCAGACTGAACTGACTAACAGAGTCAGAAAAGCAGTGAAGAACTTCAGGCTATAGCAGAAACGTGTGTAGAATAACAGCAAACTACCATCTAAGGTGAAGATGTGAATCTATGAGACTTGCATGCTTTCCCCCCCACTTTATGGTTCAGAAATATGGACTACATACGCTAGACACATCAAGAAACTGAACAGCTTCCACACAAGATACCTGTGTGAGATCCTGAAAATAAAGTGGGATTACAAAATACCAAAGACAGAGGTGCCGGAGCATGAAGGACTGACACACTTAGAAACCACTATCAAGAAAAGGAGGTTGCAATGGCTCAGCCATATCAGGAGAATGGGAGGAGAATGTATCCCCCAGAATATTTTGTACAGTGAGACTCAAGACAATTCTAGAAAGTGGGGTCACCCTCAGTGGGAGTACCACAACATTCCCAAATTGATATGAAGTCTTTCAACATCAATGTAGAAAGCTGGGAGGAGCAGGTAGAATCCTGTCTGATCTAGAGGGAACGTCTAGCACTGGGTGCAGCACAACATGAAGAGGCTTTGATCCAGAGTATGGAAGCAAAGAAAGCTGCATGCTGTAAACTTGGACTCCAACTCAGACAACGCATGGATCTGTGAAACTTGTAATAAGTGGTGTCACACTCAAATTGGGCTTGTCAGCCACAAGTGGATTTATCAGGCACCAGAGGATCGACACTTCCCTACATAGCATTACAGTGTTTTTCAGAATATATTAGTAGTAAATAAATTATTGTCTGTTCTAATTTTAAATAACAGAATATGTGACATTATCTAAGGTATATCTTGGGAAATGTACAGCATAGTAAATCTGAAAAAAAAGAAAAGTGATATATTCTTTCAGTATTATAATTATTATATGAAGACATTAATAAACTAATTGTTTAAACCTCTTAAGAACTGAAGTCTTCACATTGGGGGCAACCTAAAATGTTAATACATAATTTTAATAGGACATAATGATTGTTTCAGAAATTGCTAAGATACATACTACTCGTACTTCAACTGTCTTCATTGCTGGTCCGAAAACCTCTTTTACCATCATCAGACATGAGTTAATGAATTAATGATTTGTGATTCATTTAAAATCAATATTAATTTAACAATATAAATATCAAGTACATTGCCCATGAATTTAGGGAAGCGAAGTCTATGCGGAGGTGTAATGAGCAGGGTTGCATCCTGAGCAAATACTGCAGTTGGGGCGGGGGGAGGTGCAGAGAGGTGCTAAGCAGCAGACGGTTGGGAGCTCTGAGAGTGGGTGAGAAGGGTACAAGAGCCTTACCTATCCCAGGGACTCAAAAACAGTCTCCATCTGCTGCTTCATCTACCACAGCTGCAGCCGTGGTCACAGCTATAACTATAGTCATAGTCACAGCCGCAGCCATAGCCTCAGTTGCAGCATGGTCTGCTTGGCAGTTGTTGCTTGTACAGGAGCAGTGCAATATCCATGCACCCAGCTGCTCTTGCAAGAGCAACACCATGGAGTTACTTCTGCTGAGGTGGTGGTGCAATTTTGGTGCCGCTACTAAGTTGGTGCTTGGGGCTTGTGTTCTTTCACCCATCCCAAGTTATGCTCCTGGAGTCTGTGTATCATGTAGGGACTTAGTGGTGTAAAAATGTAATGCACTAGACTACCAACAGTAAGTAAATACTTGCAGCTCAGAAAAAATAGTAACCTAGCTTCAGTTCAGTAAAGAAGGTAAGCACACACTTAAGCTTTAAGATGCGACTAGTTCTATTGAAGATAAAAAGGATATTCCCAATGCTCAAGAGACTGAGATTTTCAAAATGGCTAACAGGTTGTAAGATCTTGTTTCTTATTAAATATCCATGGGAATTGGGTTTTCAGTTCCCTTAGGCTCCTGGGAACCCCGACACCATGATCTCTACTGGACTAGTTTTGTGGTCTTTGTTGACTGGATTCTAAACAAGGCCAGTAACACACATGAATAGAGCAAAAAACCTATTCAGTCTTCCTGGAAGTATTACAAGCAGTTGATATTGAAGGTGTCTCAGACAGTGATACCTTTTATACTGTCCAGAATACAGAAACAGAATTGTAATGACCCTTTATTTTCTCAGAATTGGCAAACTGCAGAATGTCTTTCCTGGGATGATAGTTGTTATTTATAAATTACTTTCATAGCACCTAGGCTCTTCGCTGATCAATGAAAAACATAGATTAAGATTCCTCAAGTGACCACTGATGCTATATTCCTTGATTTTTTGGTGACAAATGAGATGGTTTTTAAAAGCCTGATTTTCAGATAATGCTGAAAGCCCTTTTTCTAGAAGTCAGGCCTCTTTGCTGTGCATCAAAATATGATATTACAAGATAAAATGAATAAAAAGGAAGTAGAGAATGGATAATAGAAGACAAAGACAGGAATATGTTGAACATAAAATCTGCTTTTGATTTTAATATTTTAATAACATAATTTTAATGGAATGAAATGGCAAAGTAAAGTGAAAATTAAAAATCTGAGTGGAACACCTTTGGAGAAACAATATCCTTTGTCTTCATTGAAATCTTGCATTGAAAAACCTAAAACATTTGGAGCAGTTCTATCCATTAGCATGTACAACAACTTCCACTAAAACCAACTTTGTTATTTGTTTCTAAAATAGTTTGTATTACTTTCTCTGCATATGGTAAGAACTAATGGATAAGGACACAATAAGCTGAAACAACGTGATGTTATAAATGTTGTTTTTCCCAAGGAATAGAGTGAAAAGGAGAAAGTGACAGCATTATCAATGACAAAATCTTTATGAATGTTCCAGGAGACAAAAAAGATTTTTTTTTTTGTTAAAGAGAATAAATATGTAATTACACAATAAATGATTGACACCCTCATTTAGAGATTTTTTTTAACAACTTCAAAAGATTAAAAAAAAGATTAAGGGAATTAGGATTAAACACTGCATTAAGGAAAATGAAATATGTGATTACTGCAGTATGTTTTCCTTGAAAGATAATCTTTGTTGACTTAATTAAAAATCACAGGGATCTAGAAATTTAGGGTATTTATAAACATTCACTGCACCCAGCCCACAATCACATGATTTACCTTAAGCCACATAATTGTAAATGAAGAGCAGCAAGTGTAGATGGTTGCTGATGCTTGGACCTGCACCGGGAAACAAGTGAAAGTAACTGGGGGTGGGTGAGAGGCCAGTGGGATCAGAAGGGCTAGTAGTTTGGTGAGTCTAGGGAGGAGTGGGCAGGACTGGAGGAGGTGGTGGGTCTGTGGACAGGCCTTAGGGGTCCACTGCAGGGGTTGTCCATCTTGGGGTGGGAGAGTTGGGACCCTAACAATAGCCCAGCTAGGATGGGGAGGGGTAGGAAGAGCATATAGTTGGGTCTTCCCAGTCCTGGGGCTGCACTCCAGAGATGTGCAGATGTTCACTGGATTGGTTTAACCTGTTCCTGATCTAAATTAGTTCACCTACTCAGGTGAATTAACTTAGGCCGGCGCTCCATTTTGGCCCCTAAACATCTGAGTAGATCAGCAGTTAGACAGACCTAGCATTAGCTAGGTAAAGCTAAATGTCATGCCTGCACATACTCTAAGAGATACAATAAGCAAAACATTAAGGGAAAGTAGTTGGGAGAGAAGAGCAGGCAGACCAAGGGGTGAGAATTTTACTCAAAGGAAAGAAGAAAAGTGAAAGTAAGCCATACTAGTTGGATAAATATAACTGTACATTTCTTCCAGTTAAGCTTGGGGAATTACACTGTCACTTATGCTGCAGTGAAGCTCTTGTTAAAGAATGAAAGAGAGGCTCAAACTCTGGTTTTGCTACATACATGATAATCAGGGATCCTGGTTTTCCCTGATTTAAAAAAAAAAAAAAAAAACAAAACACCCCCCCCCCCCCATTTTTGGTTAAAAAAGGGTAACCCAAAAGCCATATTTTTCCATAAGTAAAATGAAGTGCCACTATATACATAAATCTATATTAGTGATGTTTCATGTTGATCATAGAAAAATGTGGATTTTGGGTTACTTTTTTAAAGCCAAAAATTGGGGATTTTTTTTTTTTTAAATCAGAGAAAACCAGGATCCCTGGTGATAATGTAGGGTGTTATTATTCAGATGGGTCAGTAAGGAATATCATTAGCTAAGAATCCTGGTATGCATTAGCATTTACCAAAGTCTGTTACTGGGAAGCATGTTGCTGCTGCTGTTATTATTGCTACTGTTGTTACTATTATTACTATTAGCTTAAAAGCAACCAGCACTGAAGGGTGAGGAAGGGGGGGGTGGGGGGGGAAGATTCGTCTTTGTAAATATAAGAGCTATAAGATACAGCACTCACAATATTAACAATTACAGGGAAAACAAAGAAAGGTCAGAAAAGGTCTTTCTTGATCATTTTTTTCCCCACATAGGAGCATCTGAATAGCAGAAGACATATTCTAAATGTGTAACAGCCCAGAAAATATTACAAGCTGGCAAGGAAACCATTAAACTATTGAAAATGAAGCTATGTTAAAATTTGTGCCTTGCTGAAGCACTAATAACACACAGCTCTAAGTATCTCTTCAGACTAAAGACAAGCCAAGAGACACGCTCACCCCCAGAATACTGCAGTGAAGTGCACATTTTAAATAAGGCACCGTAATCATAAGAATTCTTCACCTACTTGAAAGGTATGCTTTCATTCATGGTATTCTCCTACACATTTTTTTCAGCATGTTCGCTGTAATGTACAGTACTCTGAGGTAATATTATTAAAAAATAGTGATATCTGGATTAAAATTTCACACAAGTGTTTACCAACACTGTTTTGTATCCCTTAAATTTCACATTTTCTTACCATTTAGGGCAATGTGCTTCCCTAAATGGTAGTATGAGATCATCTGAATATTTTAAAAAAAGAAGATACTGTTACCCAAAAAAATGTTTTTATAGTTTCTACTAAAAATGTAAGTGAGATAAAGGAGTGTAGAGGAAGTGGACTTTTTTGTGCAATACATATGTATTGCCTACTTTAGCTATATAAAAATCAATAAAAGTGTGCGTTTTGGTATCTCAGGCTAGGTGCAGACATTGCACATAAACTGGTATAAGTGTTCAGAACCTAGTCTAAATCTGTAACAGAGCAGGAGTTCAGCACACACAGACTGATTTGAAAATGGTAGAACCTATTCTAGGATGACCCGAATGGATGTCGTATTAGACTTAATTGGTTTAGGTTAGAGCAGTATATAAAACTTCTATGCCTGATCCTGTAGCAAATTACCTCAATTCACTGTCTTCTGGTATCCCAGGTGCCCATTACAAGGCAGTGTGTGATCTTGGGTAGTGCTTGTCTGCGCTGGGAGAGAGCTGGGCCAGGCCTGCCCCTAGCCTGTCACAAACAGGAGCTAGAAAAGCAGGAGACAGAGCCTCATGCCTGTCTGCCACACCAAGAACAGTGGGCAGAAAGGTGGGGAGAGGAGCCTTTCTTTATGCACTCCCCCAGCTTGCTGGCTTGGGGTTGTGGGGTGCCAAGGCAGGTCTGCATGAAAGGGGTTCTCCACCCCAGCTCCCCAACCCCAGTTCCTGGTGCCACAGGCAGATGCACAGCTCAGAGCTGGCTCCTGGCTGCAGTCGCCAGGAAGGTTGAGTTGGGTGACGGAGAAGTAGAAGAACAGAGCCCACCCCCACCCAGGCCTGAAACAGCACAGTTGTGGGTGCCCTGCATGGCAGAGGCTCTGCTTCCCCACCCATTGGTGATGCGTAGTGAGTGCATGCAGATGCAGATGCACATGCACCTGCACATGCATGATTGGCCACTGCTGCTGGCAGCACTTGTGGGTGGTTGCCACTCACCACCCCCTCCCCTTTGCTGCTGACACTGCTGGCAGCATCCGTGGGCGATTGCTGAACGCAGTTGGCCACCACTGCTGCTGCCAGTGGCAAATGTGGGTGGTCGCTGACCACCAGTTGGTGCTTGCCCCCCGCCCCCCACACCTCCGGCACTGCTACAGCTGCCTGCAGGAGCTTG